ATCCTCCAACAACTGCTGTAATCTCTCTTCTTGTTTATTTTCTCGTTCTTCTTGTTTCTTTTCTTTATCCTCCAACAACTGCTGTAATCTCTCTTCTTGTTTATTTTCTCGTTCTTCTTGTTTCTTTTCTTTATCCTCCAACAACTGCTGTAATCTCTCTTCTTGTTTCTTTTCTCGTTCTTCTTGTTTCTTTTGCTGTTCTTGTATTGCTGCCATCAAGTCTGCTAAGCTGTAGTTTGATTTGGCACTTCTGTTTTCCATCTTTTTTTTTTTTTCAGTCCCACTCTCTGACACCAGTTTCTTACGTCTCTAATCGTTTGTTAATTTTCCGTAAAAATTATTTCCGAAGAAACTTTAGCGATACAGGTCCTTTCTTAAATAAAACTAATTTATTTTTCCCTGGATACAACTTTGCAATACACTTAATTTCCGCAGTCACTTTAAACACACGCTATAATTCACAATGATTCACGCACTTACTTTCGGTCACTACCGCGCTTGACTCAATTGTTCTTCTCTATCTCTGCCTGTCTGAAATTCAATTCCGATTAATTAATTTCGCTTTAACTGGCGCTCTTATATAGAGGAATAGAAGGCACCTAGCAAATACTGGATTATTCGTGATGTTCCCCGATCCTTCGAGAATATCATGATGTGTTACCAGAGCCACGTGACTACCGCTGTCGTAACAATACAAACATTTGGAACTATCTACTGGAAGCTGTATATATACTTAAATATGTATTGGGTTTCTTTAAGAGCAAAGCCACATTAGGCCATCTGCTGTGTCCAAGCGTTGTAAGTCCGTAAACTTAATGCTGACCCATCAGGAGACCACTTATTTAGCACTTAGTCTTATGGAACTTTATTGATAAACTCTTATTGTAATACGTTTTGTTTGTTAAGTTAATAATCCATTGATTCATATATTTAGATTTGATTACCATTTATTTGTAGCGTCTTGTAAAAATTTAATTACAAGGTTTAGTTTTGTAATCCAGCAAGGCACGAAATACAAATAAAAGTAAATTATGAACCAAGATAAACCTGTTCTTATTATCAACTCTACACTGTCATTTTAAATGCTCGCTATACAGCGTTACTCACGCTCTTTCAGCAAGAGCACGTGGTAGGTGAGTTGATACGACGTGCCTTCATCAAGTTCCACGTACTTGCTTTCCCGCCGTGTGCGACCGCAAATTTCCACTGCAGCTTAGTATTACTCCGATAAGATAACTAGTTCTCATTTTCTGTTAACTTAATTAACCTCCATATCCACAGCAAAATCTAAGGTATTAGTCATAAAACCTTGTAAAACATCAGCTAGCTACATATTATAAGTCCATTATAACTTACTTTGTACTTCACTTGTATTTCTTGTTTGGGCGTTAAACAAGCGCGAAATGATACTTTTTTCCGCAGGAAAATCCTTTACTACGTTGCAACTTGAGTTAGCAATGCAGTTGGAGCTATTGATATTAAGATGCTGGTTGAATGGTGCATTGTTAGTGTAAATGTTCTCGGCTATTTCATATTTCCTTGTGTTCCTGCATAAAGCTTACGTCATTAGACTGCTGAAATAGTATGTATGTTTTCTTATTTAGATCTATGTGTTATTGTTTCTTAAGTTTTGATTTAAAGCTTTGTCAGCTAAACGAACAGCACGTGATGTGATTTAACCGGCCGGTACATTTTATGGGTGTATCCAAGGCGAGTTACAAAGATGCGTGCGTGTTTGTTACACACTTATACTTTTAAAACATCCTATTTTCTAAAATTAGTGTGATTGTAGTAAGTGATGTAATACCAGATATAGCTTAGATCCAACCGTTAATCTAATGAACAAAGTTTACGTGTATTAGTAACATTTAGGTACTAGTTTGGTAAGACTAACTCATGACAGTACCACCAGCTTCATAACTTTTTATGCTCGGCACGTTTTAAATCCACATTAAGCCTTAGTTTGGTATGTAAACTTATGCATTATTAGTACATTTGTTTTCCATAACTAAGAACTGCAAATAAGGCTATGAGTTGTATTTTAAACAAAAATTACACAGCCAATAACTTATTGTTGATGGGGTATGAAATTATGTCTCAGCTCTTTATTAATCGGAAATTAAAGGGACATAACCCTTCAAATTAGGATGATATATTTTTGCTTTATGTACTGCAATTATTTCTAGATAATTTACGTATAATTAAAATGTGATACTTTAGTAGACTAAAAGTAAGCTAATGCTTGTTAATACCAATGTTATCACGGTAATCTTGCACTATCAGTACAAACAATTCCAAGAAGTGTTTAGATTGTACTACAAGGAAATAAACTCTTGTAGTTAAACTGGCATGTTTCAAATTACTTGATAACTTGTTTGCATGCCTTGCCTTTTCTGATAATTTATGTAATGTTAGTATTCAGAAGCATTCTAATAAATAATAAATTACCGTATCAATATTCTGCTTAATTTCGAAAAATAAACTTATGGTGATCGTCACTTATTATTAAAATATGATAATATTATTATTATTATAATTACTAATAATACTTTTAGTAGTATTACTATTATTAAAGCAATAAGCAACTAATGTATTTTTAAGGGTTATACTTGTTATTTTATATTGGGTCAATTTTGATCTGTTTTTATTTGTTGTTTTTTGTAGTTTTTCTTGCATATACGTTTAGTTTGTTTGTTTTTTTTATAATAGATTATGATTCAGAAGCTGTAAGCTGAAACAGAATGCCGTCTCTAGTGGATACCGGCTTTAGTGTTAACAAGGGTATTTCAGCTCTTGGCGAAGATGACTTTTCTTGTAGCTTTGGAGAAATAGAAGAATTTTACAACACCTCTACGCCAAGCGAGGACATATGGAAAAAGTTCGATCTTCTCACTCCACCCTTGTCTCCAGACAGAAAAATAGCTCATGACTATCGCCTTCCATTTAAATACGATCAGTCGCTGAGTTTTGAAGAAGAATTTGATTGTAAGCCTAGCTATTTAAATTTAGGGCTGTATAGTAACTGTACTTGGCTAGGCCTACACAGTGATTTTGCTCAGGTAAAACAGAAAAAAGGCTTAAAGGCCGAAGTTCGTCATGATTGCATGTGGTCTGGTCAGTGTTCTGGGAGCTGCGTTTACAAAAGTGATAACGCAGACCATAGTAATGTATCAACGAAAGCTAGTGTAGGTCAAGCAGATCTATCAAGAACTAGAGAAACGATTTCACTTGACCGCGGAAACCAACCTTCGACTCCTTTAGAAGAAGTGGCCAGTGATTGTGTTGACCCTTCAACTGTGTTATCGTGCAGTGTAGGTTTCTTTTTGACCGATCACAGTTATTTTCAAGCCACTAAAAAAGATCCACCACTTTCTTCGAAGCAAAATTCAGACGCCCAGTCCGATTCAGGTAATAATACAAATTTTAAATTCATATTTAAAGTTTTATATTTAAGAATAGTAACAGTTTCGATATTAATGTTTTAACTTGTGTAATCATTATAATAAATATGTATGTATACTTACAGCATATGAATAGGATTACAAATTGATCTAAAATTATTAGACGTACATTGATTTATGGAAAACAAAAATTTCACTTACTGATACATTTGTAACCGTGTTAATATTGGTTAGTGATTATATAGAATTCGGAGTAGTAAAACGTTTTTGATTACTTAAATGTATTTAGATTGTTTAAAGCGGTTTTTGTTTTGATTATAATACATTTATTTATTTATTCTAAAATAATAAACAATTAAGGCACCGGTATCAATTCTGGCGCGAAATTTCTTGGCGGCAATTGGCGATGCTGTCGACTTTTCACGCCTTAGTGACGAAGTTTTGCTCCGCTGCATTATTGCGTCATGAGTCAGTAAACTGGCAGTGATGGGATGATTACGTGTTACGAACGAACTTGGTTGAGAACATATAAATATATTCTGTTACGTTGTAATTGACAAGAGTATCCGTTACAAACTAATATTTTTGTAACTGTAAGTAAAATCATAGTATTTTAGCCATTTAAGTTTTAAATACCTAAGCTAAAGCAATTTGTAGAAAAGTTTATAACAATAAATCTAGACTATTCATTTCACAGAAAAAAACAAAAAACCTCCAATATACTTGTGATCCATGCTAGATTTTGTTTTGTATGCTGGAACGTAAACTGAAAAAAAATATATTGGGCTTATTGAACTGTTTAGTTTATTCAAGCAACTATATATTTATACACTAATTAGTATTTATCCAACATGTAAGTTTAATTCAAACATGAGTCAGCTAAAGTTAGATTCATTCTAAAAATGACTTAGCTATTCCATGATTCACACACGTTACGTGTCGAGACTTGTTGCACCACCTATTGACCTTCGATGACACTAACTCTGTGGTGGGTTGCTATAGTAATATCAATGGATTAGACATAAGAGGCTTAGGTCGTGTGCATTGGTTTAGCTGAATTTATTTTTTATTTTTTTAAATAGAAATATATTCGCTAATGAATGTGAATTGAAAAACAAATCAATCTCATAACGATGTGGAAGGTTTATAAAGATAGTAAAGAAACTGGTTCTGTTATATAAGCTGTAATAATTCAACTTGCCGACCCTAAGGCAAGTTGATAAAACCAGAGAAGGTGGTTTTGATACAAATCTGCAGTGTTTAAAAAATTCCGACCCTAATAGTTTAGGAGGAGTAATCGGGTGTGTTTTCAGACTTTGTTCACTATTTCTTTAGGAAAAGATATGATTTATGGAAAGCTATAAACTTTACTAAACCTAAATACAATGGTATAGTACATAAATGTAGGGACAAAATCCTTATGTTAACAATTACGTATACATTATAAGATGGAGTATTACAAAATATTTATGAAAGGATGATGTACTGTAATCAAACTGTTAGGCGTTAACTGAGAAATGAAACAGGAATATCGAACTAAGGTGTCAACATTCATTGAGTGTTGAGCTAACTGTTGTGTTATCTAAGAAATGAAATAGGAATATCGAACTAAGGTGTCAAAACGATACACCAATTATTCAGTTCATGTTAGTAGTACTTATTTCCTAGTTTTAATAAATTGTATACATACTCGGTAGAGTTGCATAGCAATACAATTAATACAGTTGTGTAATTTACCCAAACACCAACCGTAGGTAGACCTATTAATTAAACTGACAGTAAAGTTGGGCTGCGCGCCATTTTAAAAACAATAGGTTTTTTTTTCAACAGTAACCATAACCCACAGAAGCAAAAATGAGTGTGTCATAAGGTCTAATAATGTCGGGGTACCTGCCCCTTAAAGTGACAGACAGGAGAGAAATCACGGAGCATGTGCAAGAGTGAGAAGGCTTGCCACAGAAGCCAAGAGATCTGGTGATAAAAAATGACCGTTTGGCGGTGAATGTTCTAGCGAGGGCGGCGATGCTATTATTAGGGTAACTGTGATTGACAGTTTTCTGTACGGCATGACCTTGAAATCATCTACTTCATGTCTGGGTCGATTTGTAGTAGTTAAATAAAGTTCAAATCCCGATTTCAATTAAACAAACTTTTATTATTTCACGTATAACACACGTGAGTATATTATAGTATAGATGAAAAGATGTTGTAATGCCTCACGTTAGGCTAACACCGCATATTTTATAAATCTAACAGTTTTAAATACAGCACTGAAAGAACTTAAAATACGATACTGGACTTTAAGAAGCTTACAAATGTCGTGATAATACTTGATAATTATAATTTAAGTAGTGTTTTGTTGTTGTTTTTGAAAGCCCACTGAGAATTATTGAAACAATATAATGCCATTATATTTTACGGTGTTACTGTTTTTACTTTCACTCTTTCTTTTTTCAAATCTAAATTATAAAAAATAATCTGAAGTTGTTAAAATTTGTTTTAGACGAAGAAATTGACGTGGTATCAGTAGAGGGAACTGCACATCTCACTACACACATTCGACGCCCACGGAACCTGGCCTGTCCTATCAGAAAGGGGCTGGCAACCCAGCCGATGAAACGTCCAGCATCCCCGGATTCTGCGAGTAGCGACTCGGGGTTTTCGTGTAGTTCAGTGGCCCCCGTGAATTCGAAGAAAAAGTTCCGGATGAGTGGTAGTGTAGTCCGATCGTCCAGACCGGTTCCCCACAGCCGGTCATCTTCGGATTCGGAAGATCCAGTTAGACGTAAGGAGCACAACAGTATGGAGAGGAAGCGTAGAGACGATTTGCGGTTAGCGTTTCAAACTCTTCGCGAGCAAGTGCCAGACCTCAGTGATAACCCTAAAGCTCCAAAGGTAGCTATTTTAAAAAGAGCTGCTTTGTTTGCAAACCAGCTTAGTAGCAATGAGCAGCGCTTAGAAAGGACACTCCAAGCTCATATTCAGAGAAGAAACGAGCTACAAAGAAGGCTTCACCGGTTACAAAAGGCTTGTTTAGCTAGAACGAAAAAATAAGTAGATAATAGTTGACTTGACCATGTGTGTGCCTGATTTTTCTAGAAGTATATATAAATATATATATTATGTTCAGACCTAATCTGAATAGCACAGTGTCAATTTTGTATAAAGAAATAATAAATAAAACTACGTAGTTGTTTAGTCTCAATATCAATAAAGAACTTTAACGTGTATGTTTCTTGGATTTTGAAAGGTCAGGGGAAATTATTCATTTAAAGATGGCGAGGCGCTAGTTGGGAGTTAGAAACGTTAAGATGCAAGCATCTTATAGTTAGTTATTAAGGAACATTACGTGTAAGTGTTTGTAAAATGAGATAAAAAGAAAGTCGCAGGAAATTATAGACAAAATGGTTTGGTCGTATCTTATTTACATAAGTTGTTTTGTTTTGTTTTTTCGGACAATTTTTTAAGTTACCAGAATTCGCGTGTCGTAAATCGAGAATTACGAACCTTAAAGTTATAACATACTGATCAAAATGGGAGAATGGAAAGATGCCAGCACACCATTTGACCTATCAACATTACCCGCGTTCTTCTGGCTATTCTGGAAAACTACTAATCTTGCCCATCTTAACGTACCGCCTTACATTAATTCCTGCATGGCATTTACACACGTAGGTTATTGTTTTATCATTTGGTTTTCGTATTCCGGCAAGGACGTCGAAATTAGGAGTGCTGTAGCCTCCTTGGCTAGACTTATAGGGGATAAAATGGTTTCTGGTACCTCCATTACCAAAAAAAATCTTAAAAGACGTCCTCGTCCATATTTCCAATACTTAAACTTGTCGCTATCCATCCAGTTCGTGTCTTGTCACATGACTACTTGTTCAAGCTCTTTCATGTGAGGTGTCGCTCTAGAAGCTCCTTAACAATAACTAAAATAAATATATTTTTTTGACCACTTACACTGTAATAACCTTAGTAAATTTGTGACCTTTCACAAAATAATGTCAGCTATTCTGGAAAACTACTAATCTTGCCCATCTTAACGTACCGCCTTACATTAATTCCTGCATGGCATTTACACGCGTAGGTTATTGTTTTATCATTTGGTTTTCGTATTCCGGCAAGGACGTCGAAATTAGGAGTGCTGTAGCCTCCTTGGCTAGACTTATGGGGGATAAAATGGTTTCTGGTACCTCCATTACCAAAAATGTTCCAGCATCATTGTGTATCAAATTACAAAATAAACTTTGTGTGTAACACTATTTTTTAGATTGACGTCAGTTGTGCCTTGAGGATCTTATGGTGGAATACTATATAGTTTGTCAAAAATATTCGATTATACTTTCTTTTTTTGCATTGTTGGTATTTGTTGATGTGTTTCACTAGTCGGGAAGTTTGTTATTATGTTCGCTGAGGATTGTGGATTTTCAGTAAAATAATCCCATTTGCTACAAGTATTGTGATAGGAACTTTTAATAACCAGGACGTAGGAAACTGTTTGAAAATCCCACTCAGTAGCGACTTCTCAGGAGAGTATCAGCAATGTTCTTTGTGTGTGTGTGTTTATGCTCCAAGATTATCGAAATTTCTTCTGTGTGGAAATACTGCTAGGAAAGTTTAAATATCTTGTTGACATTAGATAAATGTAAATACTGGTTGTAACTGTATCATAACTGCATTGATGGAATTGAATTTGGAACTGTGTGGTATTGAATATATTTTGGTAATTTTATTTTCGTGGTGTTTTATGTTATCATGTTTAACCTATACAAACATATAAAATATCTGTTTTAACTGGCCGTGAAAAATTGGCTAGATTTTTTAGGGTATATTAATTTTTAATGAAAAAAAATTATGCATGTTTTTTTTAAATACACGCCATTGTTAACTTTATACCAGAGAGTCGTATATCAGTAAACTGTCAGTATTTAAGTTTAATTTTGTTTCCAATCTCCAAGTAGGGGCAGAAACGAAACAGTTTTTTTTTTTTACAGAGCTTAGCAAACTTTGTATGTTAATAGTCTTTGGGTTTGAAAACAGAATAGTGTTAACTTTTGTTGTGTTATCAATTTTAATAAAGAACTTTTGGTTGTTTTTTTTTTCATGCAAGTTACTTTGTAAAATATCTTTTTGTAGTCCGCGTGTTTAAATTTTGTTTTATAAATTGTTTTTTCTTTGCACTTGTGTGTTTTTTAAACGTGTATCAGTTGAACAATCTTAGGTTATACATTTAATAACTGTATTTTGAAAATAATTTGTTTAGTAGATTGACAAAAAAAATTGTGCGTTTATTGCATTTTCTAGAGTTGTGGTTCCCAACCGTTTTATCCCTTAGACCTCTCAAGACCTAATTGGTTATAAAACAAACTATATTATGGTTTATATTGATTAAATGGCAAGTAATTCAAGGGTGGGTCGATAATATGCAAGCGTTTAGTGTTGACAAGTGGAATACACTGGTAACTCGTCGAGACAGCTTTACTGTTTGGAGACACGAGTTTATTTTCTTTTAATGTTTAAATGTTCTCGTTTACCCCCCAGGGATACACGTATCGGGGACCATTGTTCTAGGGGAATCGTGTTTTTTGTATTGTGTGTATGATGCGTTTAATAAAAAAACGGTTGGTTACGAACGATATTAGAGTTAAACTACTATCACTACAGGTCTCGTTAGTCCTAACAAAGAAACCGTAGAGATCCTTGGATAACTATTTCATGCAAGTATCACATCAGCTTTTCTATCATTTCTTAAGTTATTTGTATTTAGTTCGATTTGAAACTTGATCATACAAGCAGGAGATGAAATTCTCCGTGGAGACAGTGTTGTTCACTAGAGTTGGTCGTAAGATTGTAACTTTTAATAGTGGTTAAGCTTTAGTCGTTATCATAACAGAGATCTTAAATGTTGATAATCATTGATTTATGCAGAATACTTAGAATATTTAATTAACTTTTGTTATAATCATCATGTTCTGAACTTTTTTACGCATGCGTTGAACAATAAATATAATAATGCACTCTGAAATTGTATGGCTTGTTTATATATTTTTATAAGAAATCTATCATTTCTCATAATTATTTTATATTAACTTGCACATTTTTATATAACGGATAGCAGAAACTAAATGTTCTAAACAAAGAAAGATATGAGTGTGTCGTGTGCAGAAATTGTTCCTTCATAATACTCAACCAATAACGTGTCGTAACACATAAACAAATCTCAAATGTATATTACAGTCACTCACGTGAATATTTAATAAGCCCATATTTTCCGAGCGCTGTAGTTGTGTTAATCTTGTAATACTGTTTAACATTATTTAAAACTACGTGAATAATCTAACTATATGTTTTCACTTGAAATCTGCGTGGTTGTTCGGAACAAAACAATGAAATACGTCACGAAACACGCGACTTTTGGGTCAAGTCGTTCACTATGATAATACAGCAGTTGGGAACTCACTGAAAGGACAGGGAGTTGAAGGACCAGAAAACCCGATCACCTTGTAACGACCCTTCCAAGTTAAACAGCAGACTGGATCGACGAGCTACCTTCGTCCTTACGTTGCTGTGTTGATTGGCATATTTCCAAACTCACTCAGGATTTTCCGGTGAAGTGGACGTATTGCCTTTAACCTTTGAAGTGACCGAAATATGTTAACCAAATAACTACGATGCAGAGGTAGCAGCGACTATATCATGAAGCGGAATTTTAGTTAACTAGAACCTTCAAATGTATCGAATCAAAGGTGATTATTAAAGAACTTGTACTCTGATTATAAGAGTTACCAACAGAAATATAACTGAACCAAACAACTCCTCGGGAGGAATAACAGTTAATTAAAAAGGAAAATTAAAATGCTACTAAATATGGTCAAGGATGCTTTCAGTGGGTGGTATTCCCGCCAAATATTGGCAGAAATTTGATTTTTGCAAGAATCTTCCAATTATAGGCTTTTTTGGTTATCTACCACAGTATTGGCTAGAATTGATTTTGGTTATCTACCACAGTATTGGCTAGAATTGATTTTGGTTATCTACCACAGTATTGGCTAGAATTGATTTTGGTTATTTACCACAGTATTGCCTAGAATTGATTTTGGTTATTTACCACAGTATTGCCTAGAATTGATTTTGGTTATTTACTACAGTATTGGAAATAATTGATTTTGGTT